AAGAGAAAGATATAAAAGGCATCCAAATAGGAAATGAAGAAGTCAAACTCACTATTTGCAGATGACATGATTTTCTATATAGAAAACCCTAAAGATTCTACAAGAACACTACGAGAAACAATAAGCAAATATGGTAAAGTTTCTGGATACAAAATCAATATTCAAAAATCCATAGTGTTCCTATATACTAATAATGAAGTGTCAGCAAAAGAAGTGAAAAAAACAATTCCTTTTGCAATTGCAACAAAAAGAATAAAATACCTAAGAATAAATCTAACAAAACATGTGAAGGACCTATATAATGAAAACTACAAGACCCTATTAAAAGAAATCAAGGAACATGCAAAGAAATGGAAAGATATTCCATGTTCTTGGATTGGAAGAATCAACATAGTTAAAATGATCTTATCACCTAAAGCATTATACAGATTTAATGCAATCCCCATCAAAATCTCATCAGCATTTTTTAAAGAAATAGAACAAAAATATTATCAAATTTGTATGAATTGCCAAAGCCATCCTGAGAAAAAAGAACAAGCCTGGAGGCATCACTCTGCCCAATTTCAAATTTTGCTACAAAGTGACAATAATCAAAACAACATGGTATTGACAGCAAAACAGACACATAGACCAATGGAACAGAATCAAGAATACAGAAGTAAACCCATGTTTATATGGGCAAATAATTTTTGACAAGAAAAGCCAAAAACATACAGTGGAGAAAGAAAAGCCTCTTCAATAAATGGTGCTGGGAAAACTGGAAAGCCACCTGCCAAAGAATGAAACTAGACTGTTGTCTATCACCACATGCCAAAATTAAAATCAATTAAGGACCTGAATATAGGACCTGAAACAATAAAATGCATAGAAGAAAACATAAGAACGGAACTCAGGGACTTTGGACTTGAAGAGGATTTTATGAATTTGACCTCAAAGGCAAGGTAAGTAAAAGTGAAAATGAATGAGAGAACATCAAACTAAAAAGCTTCCACACAGCAAAAGAA